TAACATTTATTTTGGTCTTTCCAACTACATGGAATGAGAAAAATTGAGATAGATATATTGCTCTTTAAGCATTTTTTTTCCAGTGTCAGTGGCTTTATATCTGGCTTTACTTTTACTACTTTGAGTTCCAAAGTTGATGAGAAATTTCTTATAACCATGAACTTTAAATTATACTCCAGTGAAAGAAATTTTTAATTATTTGGTCCTTTAATTTATATTTAAGTAGGTAGGTGTTTATTTATATAGCAATCGGGACATATCTTTATGTATATTAACTATTTTTTTTTTTACTGGCAATGCATATCTCTCTTTTTCTTTTTTTCATTATTATATTTTTCTTTTTTGATTAAGATATTACATATGTGTCCTTATTCCCCCATTGCCCCCCCCAACTCATGCCCTTACTCCCTAGTGTCTGTGTCCATTGGCCATGCTTATATGAATGCATTAACTATTTTTTTAAAAAGTTTATCTTTCAATAGTACATAAACATTTTGTGAGAGAACCAAGGCCTAGGACTTAATTGAAATTACTCAGACCTCTGTAATACTTTCAACAATAAAAGTAAGTTTAAAAAATACATAAATACATAAAGTAGCAATGAAGAAGGAAAAAAGTTACTCAGAGCATAAGCCTGCGATAACTATGCCTGCATGGGCTTTGTTATTTATTTATTTGTTGTCTTTATATGTTCATCTGTTACACCATTGTAAATAAACAATTGAATTCTAAACCCCAGGTTATCATTTACATAGTACCGTGCTTTCAGAAGGGAGCACAAGTATTAGCCAACCCAGATACGTCACTTTCTTCTATAGTCTTTAACATCTCTAGAGAGGTAGTTTCCGTGACTCCTTTTACTAAAGGACTCCTATGATCAGAAATTCTTCCATGTCCTTAACCAAAATCCTATTTGAAGTGCAGGGTTCTTTAGGTCAACATCTTGTGATAGAACAGGCCCATTAAATCCGACCTCCGGTTAAGTTAAAACTTGTGAATGGGTCCTAGCTAAATAATGTAATTATGGCTATGAGCTAAAGCCAAGAAATCTGCCATCTACTTCACAGTGAGTCTTAAATGGATAAAGGATGCCCTTTGAGTAAAATCACCTTGAAAAGGAGAAAGCACTATGGAAAAGGGATTGCTCTGAAGGAAAACTGAAAGGAATTAAGAAGGTATTTAATTAAGGCAAGCTGACCTGCTGGCTAATGCAGCGGAAAGCAGAGGCCAGAGAGCAGCTGGGGATCCTGGGGATTTCTGGAGTCTTGGCAACGACATGGAATTTTCTAGAAGGAAATCCTAAAGGGTATCCAGGAGCCTATTTGGTGAGACAACTGGTATGTTTAGGAGCTAACTCTGAACGAGAAGGTGAAATCAGTGATTTCCTCAGGAGAGCATGAAACAGCATCTCCACAGTTGATGGGGCAGGCAGGAGTGTCATCGCTACAAGACAGACGGCTGGAGAGAGTGAATCTAAACAATAACTCTCCTTCTAACCAGCATCCTTAGATGCCCTTGAAGAGCAGTATCTGGACAACACACCATCTCCTCCCACTCCAAAGGACATTTCTATTTTGTCTCATTGTGGGGGAGGGGGAATAAAAATAGTACCTGATTTCATTTATGTGGTTCTCTTTCATATTCTTGAAGAATTTGTATCTTTCATGTATAAGCAAAATAAAACCTATTCCTTTGTGTTTTCCTCAGAGGACTGATTTCCTGGTCTCAAGCAGGCGTTTTTATTGCTCATCTCTGTAATTTCTCCAACCTACTCGTAGAAGGCATCGGTTCTAGGGCCTAAAGCAGAATGTAGTCTGCTATTAAAACCCTGTTTGAAGAGGAGTAGCAGAGAGCTGCTCGCTTCATGCTTCCACTGATTTCCTGCTTCTGGGATGGAGGCTGCTTTCAGAGTGCCCACTCCTGCTGAATCTGACTTCACACTGACGGGGCACTGCCACATCTTCTGCACCAGGGCTTTTCATTATTTCACACCCATTACCAGCAAAACATTTTTTAAAACTAGGTCCAAGAAAAGAACCAAAAATCCAAAACACACAACAAAACCTCTGCATTTATTAAATTATTCTTTTACTACTTTAAGTTTAAAAATTCAAGTATGCAACTGATCAAAATGACTATCCCATAGTCATGATAAATTCATATTATTCTTCCCAATAAATTATTGGTTTGAGTCCCTTTATTGTGAGATTGTCCTTAGACTTTTGAAATATCAAAATAACTTAATTGAGACAAACAGAAATTGAAGAACATTGTACAAAATAATCTTCAAAATTGTCAAGGTCATGAAAAGCAAAAACAAGCAAACAAACAACAACAACAACAACACACAAAGAAACTATCAAAGATCAGGGGAAGCTAAGGAGACGGGACAACAATGAAATTGGGTGTCTTCGACTGGATCCTGAAACAAAACAGGACCCTAGTGGAAAAAACTGGTGCTTTTTAAATATAATCTGTAGTTTAGTTAACAGTATTTTGCCAATGTTAATTCTTAGTTTTGAAAACTGTACCATGATTATTTTGGGTTTAACATCAAAGGGAAATAAGTAAAGTTTTTACAGGAGCTCTCTGCACCATTTTTGCAAATATTTTATAAACCTAAAATCATTCCAAAATAAGAAAATAATAACTTAAGGGCTTTGTCTTGGTAAACAGTCTATTACATCAAGTCTTTGACAGTTTTATCTGTATGTGTTTGTTTCTGTTAATGTAACAGCAAAAAGATAAGATAGTATTGAAAATACTAAATCTATTTTTTCTTATTATCTGTTATCATGTTTTTTTCCGTAGCAATATTGAATATCTGAATAGCACACTTGTGCTTTGTGACTCATGTTTAACTTGCTCTTTAGTAGAAAATAATTAGACACACAAGATGGAGCATTGGAGTCAGTGAACATGTGTGTTTGTGTATTTCCATGAATACTGTAAAGCTTTATTTGACATCACTGTGGTTCCCGAGTTATGAGCAATAAGCACATAGGGTTCAGGGAAAGCATTCCTCTGTAGGAAGAACAGAAACCCTAGGTCCCAATTGGCTTGGGTCCCAATTCCATCCAATGAGAGCCTTCCTACCTTGGCTAGGATTCAAAATCCTATATAATAAAAGCCCAATATGCAAATCGACTGAACGGCAGAAGGACCAGTGGAATGACCGGTCGTTATAACATGCACTGACCACCAGGGGGCAGATGCTCAATGCAGGAGCTGCCCCCAGCCTGCAGGTCCCAGGCCAGCCAAGGTGGGTGCCAGCGGTGGCCTTTGATCGCCCCGCTGGTCGCCCCACAGATCAGCCCTGGTCACCGGCCAGGCCTAGGGACCCTACCCATCCACGAATTTCATGCATCGGGCCTCTAGTCTACTAATAAATAACCAGGAGATAAATGTTGATTATCTATCTATATCCCACTTTGCAATGATATTTTTATTTATCTGCTTTCGATCTCTCAAATTTCTATGCAGCTTCCTGGAACTGTGTTTCACTTCCACAATATTGCTACTACTTCAGCGGTCTCCATTACCTTCACCACTTCCATCACAAAATACCATATACTGGGGGCTTGAACAGCAGATATTTATCTTCTACATTTTGAGGGTTAAAAGTCTGAGGTCAAGGTGCCAGCATGGCCAAGTTCTGGGGAAAGTCCTCTTCCTGGTTTGTAGACAGCTGCCCTCTCATGGTGTCCTCTTTTTTTGCAAAATCTTGGAGAGAGAGCAAGTTCTCTGATGGTCATTGATCCTATCCTGGGGGCCCCACCATTATGACCTCATCTGATTCTAATTATTTTCCAAAGCCCCCAGCTCCAAATACCATCCCTTGGGGGTAAGGAATTCAACATACAAATTTGAGGGGCACATAAGTCAGTCCATAGCAGTCTCCAAAACTCAAGAGTTTCAGATGAATGTGTGGACTACATTTCAAGCACATGTTACATGCTGTCTGCAGGCTGTCTTATTAAATCTTCAATAGCAACCTCATGAGGTACATGGACTGTAATTTATAGATGAGGAAGTTAGATCTTAGAGAAGATAAAATAACTTCTGCAAGACAAGGCATTTAATGAATAGCAGAACCTGCACTGAAAATAAAATTGTTCTGATTTAAAATTATCCTTAGGCATTACCATATAAGACCCTAAATCCTAATATAAGCACGTGAGATTTATATTAAAGACAGAGTGAAATTTTTTATTCTGTGCAAAAATTACTTCATGTTATAATGTAGAGAGAGTAATTTTAGAAGAGAGTAAATTTTATATATATCTTTGCACCTAGAGGGAAGAGAATACCCATAAAAAGAGGGTACTCTTTATTAGAGGTCGCAATAATTAATATGGTGACCACACTGGTTACAAATTTGATTGACTAATTTTGTATAAAATAATAATCTATTAGAAAAATTAAAAAGTTGAATTCATGCAGTAAACTGGTTACCAGATGAGTGGACCAATTAAAGAATATTTTAGAACCTGCTTTGATTGCATGAAATAATCAGCATGATGGTCAGATAATTATTTGTTTTCTCTCAAAAGTAAAATGATCCTTCAAAAAATGTAAAAAATAAAATAAAATAAATTTTGGCAGCTGTGTATTGAGATGTATAAATAGCTGTTTTGATTAACAATATCCAAACCATTGTGAAATTAGGGGGAACTCATTTGTATTCAATGGCATATTTCAACAGTTTTGTCTAGTGGTATGTAAAATAATTCTCAAAATTATCGGAATTATTTGAAACCTTTAAAATATATTGGTGCAAGCAATGATTTTTACAACATATGCAAATGTCCATAACGGTTATGGATATGCTGAACATCTGTTGCCAAGAGCTTTTTCTCTGTTTTGTATTGTACTACCCTGTTCCTTTTTAAGTGCATTTAAAAAAATTATTCCCAATGTATTAATTGAATAGATAAATTCCTGATGCTATTAAACTCATGTAAAGCAATGGGTAATAAGATTTCTTTATTTCCTTTCAGATTTTCAGACGATGCTGGTTAGTTTTCAAAAAGGCTTCCAGTAAAGGACCCAGAAGGCTAGAAAAATTTCCAGACGAAAAGGCAGCGTATTTCAGAAACTTCCATAAAGTAAGTCTCAGTCTTGGGAGTTGCTGGGGAATAACTAGACCCTTGGCAACAGCTTGCGGAGACATTTCTTTTGATAAATGAAATCTGCAAGGGAAAAATGCATGGCCAGGGTAAAATGTCTCCGTTCCAATAAAATGCAAAAGTTATTTTTCTCCTTTATTTTAATCATCTGCTGTAAATGCCAGAGGTACCTCTGCAAAATGAAAGACTCATTTTTATTGCCGCTTTGCAAAATGAGATGACTCATAACTCAGCCAGATCATTTCCCAAGGTGCTGAGTAAGCATTTTCCCTCTGTTCAGGTTAGTTGTGCATTTGTTACTTTGATTTAAACTATCGGTGATATTTAGGAGATAAAACTTTTAGAGCTTGAGTTAATAATGCTAAAGACCCTTTTAATGGACACAGCATTTGCTGTTTATAGCCTTACCAAGTCAGAGATCATTAAATATGCTGATGTGTAGAGATGTGGCAGAAATTCTGTGAATGAAATGTCAATTTCTTAAGAATGAGCCTTCACCAAGTACCTCAGTTAGTTAGAGCATGGTCTGGATACCCCAAGGTTACAGGCTTGATCCTCTGTGAAGCCAATGAATGCATAAACAAATCAATGAACAACATTGAACAACAAATCAATGTTTCTCTCTCCCCCTTTCTCTCTCTCAATTCTAAAATAATAAAAGTGTAATATGCTAATTAGACTGGACATTGAACGACCTTCCAGATGTCATTCCAGATGTGGAGGAAGGGGCTGAGGCAGAGGCAGTTAGGGGCAATCAGGCAGGCAGGCGAGTGGTTAGGGGCAATCAGACAGGCAGGTGAGTGGTTAGGGGCTATCAGGCAGACAGGCAGAGGCAGTTAGGGGCGATCAGGCAGGCAGGCGAGTGGTTAGGGGCAATCAGGCAGGCAGGAGAGTGGTTAGGAGTGATCAGGCAAGCAGGCAGAGGGGTTAGGGGTAATGAGGCAGGCAGGAAGAATGGTTTGAGGTGATCAGTCAAGCAGGCAGGCGAGCAGTTAGGAGCCAGCAGTCCCAGATTGAGAGGTATGTCTGACTGCCAGTTTAGGCCCAATCCCGCAGAGATCTGGCAGTCGACATATCCCGAGGGGTCCCGGATTGCGAGAGAGTGCAGGCCGGGCTGAGGGACCCCCGCCCCTGCCATGCACTAATTTCATGCACCGGGCCTCTACTCAATACATAAGAAAATAGAATTATAAGTATGTAAGAAATAACCCTAGGATGATGCTAAATATGCTGCCTAAAGTTATCTTTGGTGACAATATCACAACAAAGTTAAGTATTTGATAGTACTGAGGAGGATTCGTGATAAGAACTCAGAATTGTGAAACAGTTGGTAGGATGTCTGATTAATCAGTAAAGATTCCTATTCCCAAATTTAACATCTGTGTGAACTTGCATAAGCTATTTAATCTCTATGCACCTACATTTTTTCCTCTGACAGATTAAGATTATAATAGTGCCTACCAAAGAGAGTTATTGTAAGGAATAAATGATACTATAGACATAATGAGATTAAATATAACTAGATAAATGGAATTTTATAGCTAAGCATATAACTTTACTTGGCATCTGGTAAGTTGTAGCAAAGATGTAATGGTGACTTGAATGAAGATATGAGTATTGATGTTGGAGGTCAGAGGACAAATGTTGGGTATAGTAAGGGGTTAGATGTTGGGTGTAGGTGAAGATAGGACTCATGGGCAACTCATGAGTTTGGGCTTCAGCAGCAGAGATGCAGGTGGTGCGATTTATGAAGATGGGGAAGACTAGAAGAGCAGACATTGAGTAAAATTCACAAGCTTTCACGTTGTACATGTTAAATTTGAAAGATCTATTACACATTCATAGTAAAATGTCAAGTAGCTAATTAGACAAACAAATGAGGGCTTGGATGGGGGAAATGTCATTGATAGAGTTATTCATTCCTGTCATTGGCATCTTGGTAGTACTTTATTCTGTAGCATTAGATAAAACGTCCTTGGGAGAGAATGAAGAAAGAGGAGATAATTAACACTCCCAACATTTAGAGGATTAGGTGAGGCAGAGACACTGGAATAGAAATCTGAGAAAAGCAGGAAGTAAGAGGAGAAGAATTACATTAGAGTAAATCACTGGAAAGCAAGAGAAAACTGTGCTAAAGAATTGAGCAAGTGGTCATCTATGTCTAGTTTGAGAGACTGAGAAATTTGACAGAGAAAGAACCATTAGACTTAAAACATGAAGGCTGTGGGTGGCTTTGCCAAGAGCTATTTCAGTGAAATATGGGGACTAATTTCACTCGAAGAGACTTAGAGGAGAATGAGAAGTGAGGAAGGGACAGCTACTCAAACAATTTATTTCAAGAAGTTTTACTGTAAAATTGAGCCAAGATAGGTAGAAGATATGATTTTTAAATATGACATACATTGTTATATACCTGTATGCCAACACTAATAGTCTAGGAGGCCAAAAATGTGATGATTAGAAATTTTCTGTGTAGTTATAGGGTTTGGTCTTTCACAGAACCAGAGATGAGTCTAACAAAAAGGAAGGAATAGAATGAGTGCAGATCTAAATAGGTTGGATAAAATTAACACTACGAATAATACTCCAAACACATGCACACTTTATATGTGTGAGCTTTCTCTCTCCACACTGTGAAAATTAAGCAGCATAAGACCCAGGGGAGTGCAGTAAGAATAGAAATTGTTAATTTTTTAATAAATAGTGAAACAAATGTCATTGACTGTAACTTGAAGCTCCCAAGAGCATTTTAATAATTAGATTCAGTATATGTGACAACTAAAATTTACCTTTCTCATGTGAAGATTGAAGTTTTTATTATGATAGCTTATTCTTTATAGCATTTTGGGAAGCTAATTCCTTTTCCTAGTAATATAAATTTTCTTTCATGATTTTTTTTGAATGATTGTGAACTAAAATGGTGAAGTTAGACCTATTCTGATATGACAATAATAATAAATCTTAAGGGTTGTTTTCAGGAAAATTATGTACATGGTCTCTTTTCTTATTTTCATTTTATTTTAGCAAGTTTTGCCTAATCCTTCTAACTGGCTGTTTTATTATAGACCTTATGTAAATAAGTGAAAGATTTCACTCTGTGTATATTCAATTTGAACTATTAACCATTCTAACCAAAATATTTCTATTAATATCACTACTTTTCTTCTTCCTACAATTTTCACTAGCTCTGGGACACTGGTTTTTGCTCCTTTTTTTCCCTTAGAATGTATATCTAGTTCCCTCTGACAGGTAGATAAAGGAAGATCTCTTTATGAACAAGGCTGGCATACTTCAGTCTTTGTTTTCTCTTGGGCAATTAATGGTCAGTCCAGAATTGGGGGGGAGGAGGGTCTCTTCATTTTTAAGATGGCTTGAAGAAATGGACTAATATGAATTTCCCAAATTGTTCTATTTGCTAATGTTAAATATTTTAAAGTTTTGATTAGTCAGTTATTTGGATATGCCCTAAAATCTGCTATAGCGCTCCGTCACAATAAATTACAATAATCAATCAAATGAGTGAAATGTTTCCAGCCTAAATGAGGGACTTCTGAAAAAGAAGCTAATGACACAATTCTTTCTTTGCCAACTTTAACTTTGTGCTATGCTCTATCTGAAGCATACCTATTATAAAACTTCTGAGTATTAATGGTCTCATTTAGACATTTGATATGTTTACTGTTAGACAGAGCTTGCTGCATAAATCAGTTCTTATATAAAACTGCTGTAAAATGGTATATACTTTTTTTTTACTTCTTGCTAGAAAGGAATTTGAAATTCAAATCACTAGCTGCTAAAGGAAGTTATTAAAAATGTATTAGGTTTGAAAGTTTAGCTGTATATAATTGTCAGAGATATTCAAAACAAATTTATCCTCAATGAAAATTGAACTAAAGCAATTTACATAGAATCGGCTAATAAATTTTCCTTAATTTTCTGAGCAAAAGAAAAAAGAAACAGTTTATATTTATTTTAATAAAATAAAAATGAGGGCTATCTGTAGGGAGGAAAATATAAATAAAGTCCCATAAAAGGGTGAATGAAGACAAAACTATGTGACATTCCAGTGCTGAAAACTATTGATGCCAGAAAAATGATGCCTGTATAACAGGTACCAATCTTACTTCTAAATCCCCGTATTCTGACATCAAAAGCATCATTTTATTTCATCTGCTTTACTCTTATTTGGAGTTGTCAGTATTTATCTTTATGTAAAGCAAATGTCTGAGAAAGTTGGGAAAAAGATTAAGGCATCCTTATGAAGAACAGCCACCTGCAAATATAGCTTATCCTTAACAATAGAAGCAAAATAATTGGGAAGTGTGAAAACAGCACATGTGTACAGTGTGTTATATTGAATATTTTCATTTTTATTCCAATAGCTATGTGCTTAGAAAGGCATGCACTTGGTTGGTGTCTCTTCAAATACCTTCTGGAAGTTCCCAGAGTGATAGTCACTTATTCAGATGAAGGCATCTTATTCATTCATTCATTCATTCATTCATCCATCCATTCATTCCTCCATCCTTTTGTAATCCCTTATCTTGAAGAAGTCTCAGTTTCCTGAACAAACTTCCTATTAACACACACACATTGGTTCCTGGGACAGTCACATGTTAATCCATTCTTGATTGTTTTACTCATATTATCTGATCACATGCTAGTCACTCAGGGAAGACTCAAAGAACTGGAATATGAAAAGTTTGTCTTTTATATCATAAAAAGGATGGGGAAATGCCCATGGCATGGTGCGCTTCTGTGTAGAGCCTCCAACAGAGGTGAGTGTGTTGTGAATAGACAACTCTAAAGCCAGTGATGAGCAGGAATGAACAGGAGTTAAGACCTTCAGGTGGAGGGGATCAGCAAAGTTGTGATCTCAAACTCAGAGGAAATTCCCAGAATTAAAGTGATCTTTGCAATATTTAAATCAAGGTAATTAGAACTTTACAGCATCTAAGATAACTTCCATTAAGAATGAC